ATAATTTTCACATGCGTGAAACTTTTTGTATGCTTGCAAAGCACAGCCTGCTGGGATGTTTCTATGTATCTACTGGCACCAGAAGGGCTCTTTAGGACTAAGTACATACAGTACATGTGTGCACAGTAATGAGCAGGTGAAATGTCTGTCTAGCTTACATATGAGGTGTCTCAAGATTTAGGAACATACGATTTTATTGAATATAATAAAATAAAAAGTCACTTGACATGCTGCTGTTTTGTGCTATGACCTATTTAAGTGTTGGAAGTTGTTATTTACGTGACAACGCCTGAATGCAACACAAGCTCAGCATGAGTGCCATGTTGAGCTGCTGTTTGTCTGTGCATAACAGCAGTCTGTTGATGGTTATTTACACACTGTCCATTTCAATAACTTTGTCAGCTGACAAACTGCACCGGGCTCGGGGTCAGGTTTGGTCAGGAAAATACGGCCCGAGCCGCTCTAGCGTGATCACCTGTGTGTGTGGCGGAACTCCGCCGTGCGCGATACAGAGAGCAGAGGAGAATTGTTAACGTGTGACCATGTAGAGCCAGAAATGACACGATGGCATAACACCATAAATAGTATATTGTTATGTTATTATATGAAGCGTCCGTCGTGCAAAATAATATCAATGGGGGCTGTGGGCAGGACATTGTTACACAGCTGTGCCTGTGACTTCAGGCAGAGAGACCGCTGCATCAGAGCTGAAGAGCACGTTTTAAAATACATTTATTTTATCAATTAGTTATTAACTTTTACTATTTTTAGCAACTTGCCCGATTGGGCAAGTGAGTTGTTAGTTTACATGCCCGACCGTGAGTTTTACTTGCCCCGGGCAATCAGGCAATCCTTATTGTTGAGCCCTGATTTGTCTTCTAACATTTATACATATGGTTTGTCATATTTCATGGATTTTTTTTTTTTATTGTTGATGCTGTAATTATCTCAGATGTTTGCATTTCCTTACCTTTTGATTGGTTATTGCAGCCTACCACTCAAGCATAACAATCTTGTTGGTTCATAGCAAATTGATTGATCGATCAGTCGTTGGACAGAAAAATGATAATGATGTTTGAGTTATTGTTCAAGCTGAAAAATTAAGTGGGCAATTTTCCCACACTCTCAGGTTCCAGCTTCTCGACTGGAAGGATTTGCTGCCTCTCTTTAACTTTTGGTTGTTTGGTTGGACAAAACAAGACATTTGAAGATGTCACATTGGACTAATCCCAGGATATCTCCTTGTGTGTTCCTAATATGCATCAAAGAACTGTTGTTTCTTGCTACAGGAGAACGCAGTCTACTGCAGTTTACTGGGTCGTTTGATGGTGAGGACCACACAGAATATGTTTCCTATAATAGAAAGTAAACAGACGATATGGGAAAAACACATCTGTCAGTGTAAAACCACAGTTACCAGTGGTTACACCGAAAATTTTTGTAACGTGGATCTTTGAAAATATTCACAATAAATACAGAAAATATGAACTCCAAAATGATGAATTGTTAATACTGTAGATGCAGCAGACATTGTAGATACTTTACATCCTGTGTGTTTGTGCATGAAATCTGCTGTCGATCTTTGGTGCTGGTAGAAACGAGGGAAGCTGAATGCCGTGGCTATTCATGTGTCAAATGTGTCACGGTCACCATTCAATAATCACAATACAGAATTAAATGCAGTCCTCTCTGGGACGTCTCAGCTGAGCTCCATTGGCAGGATGTGACATGTGGCTACCAAACAGCCTCACTTCCTTCCATTTCCTGCCTGGTTAAATACCTCGCTTTATAATTTTAAGCAGATGGGAATGCCTGCTGTCTGCAGTGTAGTGACTGCATCTGTGAAATCCTCCTCCTTTAATAAGTGGGCACGGCTTGCCAGTACACTCCCCGTCCCAGCCTCACCAGACTTCTAATAACAGTCTCAGTGACTTCTGGGGATTTCCAGTCTATAAGCCCTCTGCTAAGGAACAGTCTGCATCTGTGATTTGTGATTACACCGCCAATGTCTGTGCCTACTGCCTCTCTGAGTAATAGCTGCTGTAGAAAGTTGTGAGTCTTGGATTGGTGTACAACTTCGATTTTACTCAGCTGTCCAAATGGTGCACGTTGAAATACAGACTGTGCCCACTCTGCGACATCCGCTGTACTTGATATGCAGACCATGTGGACTTAGATTGTTTGGCTGAAACAGAAATGTACGCCATTCCAAGTTCAGGGCTTCAATATTCTTGGTTGTCGAACCAGCACCCACTGGGTTGCTGTTTTTAATTTAATTTGATTTAAAAAAAAAAAAAAAGACAAATTACAGTAATGATTTAAGTTCTTGGATGAGGTATGTTCAGTATTCAGCGGTACTTGATGTTCAGGATCTTGGTTTTATTGGGCTGAGTACTAAACAGGAAGTAGGAGTTCAGCAGAGCTTTAAGGTTCTATGGACAAACTGTTAATGCTAGAAATGGTCAACATGACATGATATTGCTTTTTACATTATATCACATTACAGCAGCCCATTCAAAATTGTTCTTATCTTAATAATAATGATGATAATTTTAAATTTGAATAGAATGCTACGCTACAGCCCAATATAATGTGATAAAAAATATTGCATTGCAATGAATCCTTATACAACTAATGAATGACTATGATATCTAAGGAATACCCATCCCACGAATTAGCACCCCTACTGGGTGGTTAAGGAGAAAAATGTGGTTGGATGTCATCACATTAGATCAAAATGATGTCTTTAATGAACAGTTACGTAGCTTAGGTTCATGGAAAGGTAGTAAAGTTATTGCAGTTAAGTTCAGGAAAAGAATCATGGTTGGTTGTCATCACGTTACGCACTAAACATAAAGTTATGTAAGTTAGTTTTGGGAAAGTAAACCTACGTAGGTTAGGTTTAGGAAAAGAAACATGGACAGGAAGCCAGGCTATCTTAGAGACAGACAACCATTCACACTCACATTCACACCTATGTATGGCCAATTTAGAGTCACCTATTAACCTGCATGTCTTTAGGGAGGAAGCTGGAGTAACAGAGAAAAACCCACGCTGACACATGCAAACTCCACACTGAAGGGCCCCCCCCACCCCAGGTTTGAACCGGGAACCCTCTTGCTGTGAGGCGGAAACGCTAACCACTGCACCATTTGAAACAGGTGCATCAAGTGCTGAGTAATTGGATAAACACCGTGATACAATGTTCTTGAAGCGGCTCAACTCTGCTGAGCATCTAAGGAGCAGATGGAAATGATAATAACATGATGATTTAAGTGATTAAAAGTTTTTAAGAATATTTTTGCCTGACTCCGGTCATAAATGAAAGGTGCATTGTAATTCAGAAATTAGTCCAAGTAGAAAGTTGAATATTTTAAGTGTGCACTTAATTGACTTGTGTTTTCTTCACTGTCTGCTGGGGTATATATTGAAAATATGAAGCAGCATGTAAGGCTGACAAGGAGCTGCAGAGACACAGGCTGGATAGTGTGAGTTACTGGTTCCCCTCATAAAGGACTTAGAGTATTGTCCTGCTGACCTCGTAGACTTCTGACCAGAAGATGATGTTGGCGCTAACAAGCACTCTCACTAATGGAGCCATTTACTCTTCCCCACTCTTCCCTCAGTCTTCCTTTAAGTATTTCAGGGTACAAGTGCAGGAGTTTGCTTTTTAACCCTTCAGTGAAATACAGGTTTCATGTTTCTCGACCACTAATCTTATCGATCAATGTTTCTACTTGGAGAGTTCAGACACAGCAGGCTGGTGGAGTGGTAAATATGGAGAGATGGACTCATACAGAGAGGAGCTCATCACTCTCATTCTGTTCCCATTAATTCCTGAGATGTTCTGGTACCATTTTTTCCTGTTTTGATACTGATCCCTATACCTGAACTTGCATAATGTCCGAAACCGATTACTGTTCCGATACCATTGCTATCGTTGTTGTATGGCATGGTTCAAGTCAAACCCTTTGTGGGGGTGGCGTTGTCCACATACCAGACGAGGTCCTCAAGGTCCGATTTCGCAATTTCATCAAGGTCTTCTTGAATGTGGTGGCTGGGGTCAGTATTAGAGATAGGGTAAGGAGCTCGGACATCCGAATGGATGTAGAGTAGAGCCACTGCTTCTTTGCGTCGATACGGGTCAGTTGGGGTGGATCGGGCATCTGATCAGGATGGCTACTGGGAGCCTCCTGCTAGAGGTGTTCCGGACACATCCCACTGGTAGGAGGCCCCAGGGCAGAGCCAGAACATGCTGGAGGGACTGTATATCCCATCTGGCCTGGGACTGCCTTGAGTCCCCCAGGAGGAGCTGGAAAGTGTTGCTGGGGAGAGAGATGTCTGGGGTGCTTTGCTTGGCCTGCTGGCCCCATGATCCAGCCCTGGATAAGCAGATGAAAATGGATGGATGGATGGGTGAAAAACTGACATTTTATGTGACTGTGAAACTACTTTAAGTTACATAAATTACATAGTGTCTGACTGCTGCACAGACTTGCGTACTTGCTGATACCTGTTCCAGCACTGCCAACAGTGTCGGAGGCATTTCCCGTACTGGTATCAGTATTAGAACAACTCTATTTACAGCTAGCTAATGCTTCACTGTATGTCAACCTTTTACTTTTTCTGCTCAAATGAAAGAAGAAAAGCAAAACGTTTTAATTAACAGCTGTGGGAGTCCATAGGAGTTAAAGTAACAGCATTAACCTGCGATTGTTGCAGGAAAATGCAGGATACATTTGTCACAAAAGGCTCTGGAGCACACAAGTTTTCCCCAGTATGTTGTTTTGACGTTGCACTTAGATAAGATAAAACTTTATTTATTCCAAGGGAGATTGTTGGCTAGGATCAGCCTTTGTCATCAACTTTCTGACAGATATTTATTTAACCTGATTGTGTTCCATGTGTTCCTGTTGATTCTTTTCTCTGATCTGATGTTGGTCCAAAATTCTCAGTATAAAGCACTTAAACTTGTTTGTATTTTCTTGCTCTGTTTCTAGGACCTCAGGAAGGGGAACCATGACAGATGAAGTGAAAAGACCAGTTGAATGTTGCCACTATGTGTGGTCATGTGACTGAGCTGGGCTCCTGCATAGCACATGGGATCTTTCTTCATCTGACTGACTCGCCGTTGTTGCTCTGTTGCCCTGTTTTCACCATGAGAGAATCTGTCGGGTGCTTGACCTCTGTGCCCTCATACTGGCACGACTGTTGTGCCGCGTGAGCGCCTTCTCTCCTCCGGCAGTTACTGCACGGAATGGCCTCTCTGGACCTGCCATACCGCTGTCCTCGCTGCGGGGAGCACAAGCGCTTCCGAAGCCTGTCGTCCTTACGTGCCCATCTGGAGTACAACCACACGTACGAGACCCTCTACGTACTGTCCAAATCCAACAGTGTGTGTGACGCTGCTGCTCTGCTGCCGCTAGTAGCTGAGGGAGCTCTCCTCGCGCCTGCCAACAACAACGACCCTTTTGAGCCGCTGCGGCCTTCAGCTTTAAAGGAGCGGCGCTTCCCTTGTCGTGAGCTTCCCTGTGCAGACGACCTTAGTTTGACCCCAGCTAACTCCAACACAGCAGCTCGGTATATTCCCAATGTGGAGTTTCCTCTGGGGGAGATATTCATGAAGAAAGCCATGACATCCGCAGACCCTGGTCCCCATGGGAACCCCAGCACAGCTGTAGCAGTGGCAGCTAATGTAGCAGCTAGCGCAGTGGAAGCGGCCTATGAGGAGGGCCTGGCCAGGCTGAAGGCTCGGGCGTTTGAACGGCTGGAGCTGGATGAAAGGCTGGAGAAGCTGTCTGAAGAGGTCATTATCATTTTCAGAATAACTTTAATAGCCAAGTGTGATGACACATTCAAATCACTCTGGTTCTCAGCAGCTCTCAAAATACTTGCAATGGGAACAAAATTGCATGATACAGACACAGATGCTAAATAAAGCTAACAGGCTAAACAAACATAAGCAAACTTAAACATATAGCTATCATGTACAGCCAAGAGCTGGACGCAAACTGTGTAGTTAGTGGTCAGATTGTTACGTTGAAAATAATTTTACTGGAGAAAGCTTCACCTTGTTGTGTGGAATTAGAACGTTTCTCGCTTTAGTCCCCCCTAGTGGTTGTATCAAACAGTACATGCCAATTCTTAAGATTGATTTGAAAAATGCTGTAATCACATCAAAATACACACATGGTTGCTTTAAGGGTCTAGTGTGTAGGATTTAGTGGCATGTAGTGGTGAAGTTAGTGAGCTGACACTTCTCCCGGTTGCCAATAACTACGGTGGCCGACACTAAAACGTGTTTCTAGAGTCAGTGTTTGATTCATACGTTCTAGGCTACTGTAGAAACAAAATGGCGAACTCTGTGAATGAGGACCCATAGATACAAACGGCTCATTGTGAGGTAACAAAAACACAACACTTCTTAGTTCAAGGTGATTATAAATGAAAGAAAACATAGTTAAGAGTATTTTATTCCATTATTGCCAATAGATGCCCCTAAATCCTACACTCTGGACCTTGAAGAGAAGAATGTAGAAAATACAAATTCCTTGACGTAGGAGAAACAGTTCAAGTGCATTCCTTACTCCAGTAAAGCACAGGGCTCTCAATTATAAGCATTGCGTACACACAAATCAAGGCCTAAAAAAAGGCGTATGCCACTTCCCATGCAAAAGTTGTGATCTATAAAAACAGACTTGATGGGAGAAACTTTGACCCATGCTTAAGAACATTTTGGAAATTGGCGATGCAGATGGTGAGGTGGAAGTCTGACTTTGGAAACTGTCGAATATTTTTTGGCGCACATCATTTTTGGCTTTTGTATGTATGCACATTTTTAGTATGGATCCTACTCAATGTTTTATAAATGAGACCCCTGGGGATTGAAAATACAAAATGTTACATCATTTCTTTCTCGCTGTGCTGTTGAGCAGCATAGTGCTCAGTCCTGCCACCAATGGCTGGAGGCTGTATTGCAGCGTAATGTAACGTAGATGTAAAGCTCATGATGAACTATGGAAATCACCTGCAATGCCTCAGATTTTCACATTTCAAAATACTCTGTCTTTACGCTAAACTAGTTTCAGTGCTCACTTTGCTTTGGGAACCTTGAGCTCAGCAGCAGAAAGAAAATTAACGATCTTATGGAATAGCATGTTGCCTGTAACAAGCTGCTTAATTGTAATCAGGAAGATCGTTACGGACCAAATTATAATATATAACATTAATCAAGGAATCAAGAAGTTAAGATTTAATTAACAGTGTCCATGTTTTTAGCTGAAAGGAAACCTTAATCTTTACAGTTTCTGTTGGTGAGAAGTGGCATGTGTCACTGATTCATCATGCTTTTTCACACTCAAACATTTGTCAAAGAAGATTCTCATACACAGAAGTCACTGAGTCACATTTTTGGACTTAAAAAAAGCTATTTTATTCAAGCACTTTTAGTACAGGTCAAGGACAGCATAACAATTTCCGATTTGGCTGAATTCATTTGCAAATTTTTTTCCAGTCAGTATGATGTCATAATTGTGTCTGTCCTTGTGTGACTGTCGGCAGTAGACAATAGAGAACTCAAGAAGTTCAATTAAGTTTTCATTATGATAATTTCATCAGGGCTGTGAGAACTCTTCTATCTAATTCTGCATCTAATTTAGGAAAAATAATTTTCTTTAAATTAATAACGCTGCAAGATGTGTAGGCTGAATGTGGATATTTGAACACTTTTTGCTGACGGAAATCTTTGTTAATGAACGTGTTAATTGCTTAGCTAATGACCATATTTGCATCACCAGTTCTGTTTCACACAATGTGGTGATTATGGCGGGACATTAGGCAGCTCAAGTGCCTCTTGTCTTGTAGGTGGAGCAGAAAATAGCGGCCCGCGTAGGTCGTCTTCAGGCGGAGCTGGAGAGGAAGAGCTCTGAGCTGGAGCGGGCCAAGCAGGAGAGCGATCGGCTGAGCCAGGAGAAACAGGACCTGGAGGACAAGGCCTCTGAGCTCTCTCGGCAGGTGGACGTCTCTGTGGAAATGCTAGCCAACCTCAAACAGGACCTGGTGAACAAGGAGCAGGAGCTCAGTCACAAACAACAGTAAGTGATGTTTCCATTCTTTAGACTCAGTGTAGGCTTAGAGCTGCAGCCGGCCCTGATGGCGTGCCGTCAATCAAGAAATGAGCTGAAATCAATAATTGACATATAATTGTTTAAAGGGGCAGTTATCACCCAAATCTAAAATGCATATTTTCTCTCATATCTGTAGTGATATTTATCAAACTTAATTGTTTTTGTGTGAGTTGCAGGGTGTTGGAGATCTCGACCATAGAGATGGTTTGCCTTTTCTTGAATATAATGGAACTAGATGGCACTCGGCTTGTGGTGCTTGAAGTGCCAAAAAAATATATTTGAAAACCTCAACAGCAATGTGTCTTTCCATAAATCATGACCTGGTTACTCAAGATAATCCACAGACCTTGTTGTGAGCAGTTAAATGTAGGAACTACACCTGTCAACCATATCGCTGGTGCCAAAAGCACAAGCCTCTTGTCCATGAATAGATGCACACTCCTTCTGTGCCGTGATACAGTTGGGGGGTATAGTTCGGTCCTTCCTGAAACTGCTCTTAACAAGATCTGTGGATCATCTTGAGACACTGGAGCATGATTTCTGGAAAGAGACATTGCTGTCGACTTTTTCAAATTAAATTTTTTTGGCACTTTAAGCACCATAAGCTGAGTGCCATCTAGTCCCATCATACTTGAGAGAAGGCAGACATCTCTTTGTCTCCAGCACTTGGTGACTCACACTAAAACAGTCTAGACTAATAAATAGCACTTCAAGGAAGTGGAAAAACATGTATTTTTGATTTTGGGGTGATCTGTCCCTTTAAGTCGTTCAGTTCACTGGTTGTGGCTTCTAAAATGAGATTAATTGCTGGTTTTTGTTTGTCTGCTGTAACGCTATATGGAATACTTAAGGGTTTTGTCCAATAATGGTTGGACAATTCAAGATATTTGAACGTGTGACCTTAATCAATGATGACAGTTATTCTTTGTTACAGCCCTAATTTTCATTGTGTGTCCAATGACACACTCTCACGGCCGAAATTAGTTTCCTCGGAAAGGTGGCTAGGCTCAGCCTTAAAGATAGGGAAAGGAGCTCGGACATCTAGAGGGAGCTCGGAGCAGAGCCGCTGCTTCTTTGTGTCGAAAAGGGATCAGTTGAGGTGGTTGGGCATCTGATCAGGACACCTCCTGGGTGGTGCTGCCCCCACGACCCGCCTTTGGATAAGTGGTAGAAAAGAGACAGATGGATGGACATGCATTTTTGCCATGTCAAAATAAATTTCCTGGTTGTTAAATGCATACAGTCTCTTCTCAAAATAAACTTAGAACGTAGGTAAAAAACATTTTTTAGCTTTATTTCCTTAGGCTTAGACAACAAATGCATGTGGTTCCGAAAAAACATCATGGTTTGGCGTAGAATAAAGACTTTTGTTACTAACATAATGTAACATTATACAGGAAATGAACACAAAAGTCCAGACTTTCTTTGATCCATGCCCCTCGTACTGTGGCAGTTGTTCAGCACATCAAAAAATGCCACTGCCCACTGTGTCTCATACCACTAAAAAAGGGCACCTTATCACATTGCAATCTGATGCCAAGAGCCACTCACCAAGTGTCTGTATTATAAGTCAGGAGTGAGTCTGGGTTGTAAAAGTCCACATGGTCTGTGGTGGAATGAAACGTAGTAGCAGGAAATAAGTAAAACGTGAACACCCTTGCATACTAATACCTCCACCCTTGACCTCAATACAGATGGCTCTTCACTACTCCTCGCTCGTCCTTTTATAAAACACATCGTCATACATACAAACCGTCACGCACACTCCCCTCCTCTCCTTCACCTCTACCTCACTGTTGATGCTGTAATTCTCAGTCGCATCCACCCGCCAGATGTGGCCAGCATCTGTCCCGCCGCTGTCTCCATACCCCTGTGCCCTCCAGGGCTGGGTAGCTGCTCATGCTGAATGGAGAGTTGGACAGGAGCAGCTGGGTCGGCGGCAGAGATGTCCCCCCGCCTACCTCTCTCTCAGGCCAGTCTCTCCATAAAGCTGCCACGCTGCTTGGTGAACTAGTTAAAAGTACGGCTGCTGTAAATAGAAGGAGCTCTTGGATATAAATCACAGTGTGGTGAGGCAAGTTGTTGCTGGCTCTGAATCTGATGAACATGACTTGGAGCTCTCCCACAGCATGGCACAAAGAGTGAGTAGGACCGGGCTTTATTTTTTCCTGATTTTCCGAGCTTTTAAATCAATAATAAATTACTGCAGGAAATTAATCCCGCAGTAATTTATTGTGCACTCCAAACATTGATGCTATTTTTAGTTTGACAGGCTAGAAGCAATGCGTAAAATATATTGTGTTCACTAAGCCTATGTTAAAATGGAAGGTAATAAATGAAAATAATGAATCCTCTATTATACTTTACAAAATGTTTTCCACTCTCACTAATTAAGTTTTTAAAGATGCATGACATTGAATTTCCATAATATTGTACCAACGTCAAAATCTCATTCAGTTTCTTATTTATTATTAATGGCAAGTGTGTACAAAAGGGAGTCAGGAGGCACAATAACAACCTGATGGGAAAAGAAGGCTCTGGAAAAACTGAAATGTGATATCTTAAGGTTTTAAAATAGGTTTTTTAAAAAGTAGTTTTCTTGTTCGTACCTGTTTTCTTTGTTAAATTGATCAACAAGTATTGACAAGTGTCGTTCAAGGCTCATATTAATGTCGTCTGGTATCTGCGCTGCGTCTTTATCTGACAGGACAGCCAGCCTCGTCCCTCTATCTTCCTCTGGGTTTTTATCACTTCCTCGGTTTTTTTATCTGGTCTGAATGTCAACAGTAGGTCAGAGACAGAAAGGCGCTTTCCAAGGCATCTTATCTCATAGCAAACACACAACAGGACATGTCACTGCACCGTATTTACATATGTATGCATGTGTGTGAATGTGCCGTTCTCTGATTCTTTGTAAAATGAGTCAGAATGGCACAAAGGTAATGTACATATCAATTTAAAGGCCTTTGTGAGTAATTGTTATGTGTCACGGACATCTGCTGATTATTTTCAATTAATAGTTTCATCTTCAAAATGTCAGATAATGATAAAAATACCAATCATAATTTCCGGAAACCTAAATAAAAAAATTCTCATCAGCCCTATGTCACGGCCTTCATCAGTGGATGAAGTTGCTCAGATGTCAAGCAGATGGTTTAGTTGTTGCCATGTGATGTGAGTATGGAGCTTCAGTCATGTGAAAACAAGTGGTCGTATGGTATATAGGGGAAGATCGTAACCCCTGTGTCTGTTCAAGAATGTCCTTGGCAGTTGATGTGAATGTCCTCTTCCATCTTTGTACGCTGACGTCAGGACGATGGCTTTGAATCTTTCTCAGCTGGGGTTTGGTTCTGGTCTGGTGCTCACAGAAAGTTCATGCTGTCTGTGTCCAGTGTTCATTTAGTCTCTTGTCTGGGCTCCTTGTTGCCTCACAGATGTGGTGTTCCTTACCATAAAGTGCTTGTTCTGTCTGATCAAAACTCTACAACCTTAGTTTTTCAATTTCCAATTACATAAAAAAGAGGAAAGAGTCAAGTTAATTTAAAAAGCACATTTCATACGACAGGCATTAGGTCAATGTGCTTCAAAATACAATAGGGAAAAAACTGGCAAAGATCAAACTTGGGGGGAAAAAAAACAAGATCAGAACATAAAGGAAGGTAGCATTACATATACAGTATGAAACATATAAGAAACACAAGATAACAAAATGAAAATGTAATAAGATGAGAATACTTTCTCCTCCTTCTGCTTAATATTAAAAAGGGAATAATAATAAAAGTTTTACTCATTAACCACAGAGAGGCTTATACTATGCAGGATTTCCTTAAAATACAATGTATAGACTCATACAAAAGTAATCCCTCTCGATCAGAACTTATGACCCATTAGAAGTGTATGACAATGTATTTATGTGCAGAGACTCTGCCCTCTGCCTGTATTTACTTATTATTTTTCATGTTAGTGACGTTTATGGGTGTGTACCTCCACAGCGCTCAGGTGCGGTCTGGGCCTTATATAAAGGTAGCAACCAGGTGCCAGAGTGTAAGCAGCAGGCGTCCAAGATATGCCGAAAAAACAAAGATAGTGAGGTGAAACGCCAAACAAGTGAATCTGGGGTTGGCTTTTACTTTCACTCTGCTGGGGAGCATGTGTAGGATTTAGGGAGACAAATTGGCAGAAATAGTATATATAAACTAGGAATGGTTAAAGGCAGTTTATTGTAGTTAGAAGATGGTGGGTGGCTGAAGGCTTGAGTGTAATGATGGCTGAGGTGGGCTGGGAATGGCGAAGCAGAGCAGGCTGAGGGGCTAAAGACAGAGCAGTTCAAATCCGGAGGCAGAAGATGAGAACAAGGCTGGACGTGGCTGAGTATTGTTGAAGCTGGTGTGGTGAACCTCACCACAAAACTTAGAAGTTGGCGTTGACCTCTGAACCGCAGAGGAGACTGAACAATCTGGCAGAGTCTGGACTTCTGAGCCCGGCTTTTATACTAGATTGTTGATGAGGTTCAGGTGTGAAGGTTCAGCAAACTCGGGAGGAGGGAACCAGGAGGCCATGCCCAGCAACACACACAGAGACAGGAAACACGAGGGAGAGACAAAGCCGAAACCCTAACAGAAAATAAGAATCGCTGTGTTTTTGTCACCTTAAATGAGCCTTTTATATCTACATAACAAACAGGTCCTCCTCCACAGAGTCCACCATATTGTTTCACACCAGCCCCAACACCAACACCAGCTCTAGATAGCATGAATTGTGTTTTCGTGTTGGCCATCGTAGTTCTCCTACACACTTGGCACACAGGAGAAGTTTCAGTTATGCAACCTCACTGCTAGATGCCACTAAATTCTACACACTAGTCCTTTTACCATGCACTGTAAACCTAACTAAAGAGTGACAAAAAAGACACCTTTAGTCTGCTTTTAAAAGAAAACAGTTTTGTAGCAGACCTTGTGGCAGAAAAT